GCTATACATTTAGTCAAGAAAATTTTCCAAAACAAACCTAAAGAGATTACTGTAAAATCGGAAATCCAGAATAATACCATGCGAAAGATGTGAAAAACAAACACCAAGATCAGATAAAAATTAGATGAGTAAGTTTGCAATTTACGAATTGGTACCAAGATAAATTTGCGATCCTATCTTTGGAATCATTTGAATGCTGATACTTGCTACAGATTAAGCAGCGTTTATTATAACTTTCCATCTGTGCTAAAGTTGTCAAAGGCCAATGGAACGGCGATCGTTCAGGATTGTTAGTTAAAACGATAGATTTGAATTTAATTTTTGAAATTATTTAAAGAATATTTCGTCCGAATTACTATACTCGTTATCAATTTTATATTAGTAACACACCTAATTCGCCTAATTCAGCTTAGCCATATAAAATCATTATCTTTTAGGGTGATTTATTCTGTTAAAGAAAACAAGAATATTCTAATAACTTATTTATTACCTTGTATAATTAGACTATCAAGGCGCGACTGATCTTTGAAAGATGTGTGATTTACGTTTTATTTTCGAGAAAAATTTTTGGACTTTATTTCGAACGTTCACATTATAATCGATCGTCAAAGTAACATCAATAATGCTTACGAGTTAAAAAAATTTTTGGTATTTAGAATTTATCATAATATATTTTACATTGATAACATGAGAAAGGAAACACTGATTTCAGCCAAATTATCTGGATTTTATATGCTATTTATTATTATTTATTACTATCACTAAAATTTTTTATAGGCTTAATTAAGTACCTGTGAGGTAGCTGTAGAATTCTACCTCTTACGTGTTAGAGAACGGAACCGTTTCATGATTGTAACGCAAATGATGTAAGAATTATTTATTATAATTCATTTATTTCATTATTTATTATCAGGGATGAAAATAGTACCGTGAATTCCTTATTTTCCGGAAATTTTACGGGATTTTCTTCTGGCAAAATTTTTTTGTGTATATATATATATAAGGATCAAATTTTATTATTATTTTTTTTTTATCGTATTATAAAATGTTTGTTAAACGATATTTCCAAATGAAAAAATAGATACCAATGATTAACCCAAATGTTACAGCACAAATTTTAAAAAGATACACCTTTCAAAACAAAAACGGAATTTCAAAAGAATGGTTAGAAATTTACAATCGCAAAGTTAGGCAAATCCATAACGAGAAAATAAATTTGGAAGTGAAGGTAATAGTTTCTATTCAAAATGGGTCGTTTAATTAACACATTAAATGTAATAAAATTTTTATTCGTAGGTTCGAAGAATTTTTAAATCTTCTTATACTAATGCAACAAATTGTAAAATTACAAAGATGGAATTTTTTAAGAATTATAAATTTTTGGATCCTCTACTAGGAAATGACAAGTGAATGAATTTCCCAGACGTCTCCTGAGAGTTTTTAGATCACTTTAATAAAGTAAATAGACAACATATTATGGAAATGGAAGGAAAGAAAATATTAAAAAAAAAATCTCCATAAAAAATTTTTTTCAGTGGATATAAGAATCCGCAGAATATACAAAGGATTTGAATTTTGAAACACTGTCGACATACTTCGGCTTTCCTTGGACGTGCTTTTATGAGATCATGGTAAAGAAGTCGCTCATGACTTCTCAAAAAACAAACTTACGTAAACGTAAGGTCAAATTGTGCCGTAGCGTTCAAAATTGCTTGAAAAGTAATTTCGTCGAGCTCTTAAAAAATTTAAAAGATAAACATCCCTTTTATGACAGAGTCTGGTAATACTGTAATTCTTGCTGTAATCTGGTTATTTTTGAATTATTGGCTGATATTCGCACAAATTAAGGTTATTAACAGAGCAACAAGTATTGCTTTTGGTTATATTCTGCTTCAAGGAATCATATGTATTATCACTCTTTAATCATATTAGTTGCTTTTAACTTCCAAATTCAAAACCCCAGTAAAAAGTAGGCTGTTGCACTTGGGCCATCTCACTTAAGATATACATACAATATGGTAAGATGGTTTCCTAGAGAGTAGAGACTGGAGCCTACTAACTCGAAAGAAAGACGGAGATCCGTAGCTCAGTACTTTAAGTATTCCTAGTCGAATTTCTTTGCGGAACGATGAAAAAGGCAAATATGTGACAAACTAAGCGTTAAACTTTAAATAAATTGAGAAATCTAATAACGTATTTGCAATTGATGTTTCACAACGCCTCATTGCAAGACGCAGGAATAGGATGATTTAAAGTTCAGGACTAATAAGTTCTTTATAACAACATCGGAAAGATAGAATAAAAAATCCGAATTTACTCTAAATATTCTAATATGAAATCTGGAAAAAAGAAACTACAAATGAGGACAGTACGACGCCAGATTCGCCTGGACGGATGAAAGTTTTTTGCGGAACTTAAATTCAATCTGGTGAAAACAAAGAATATATACTAACAAGTGGTAAAATTAGCAAGAACGGTTGGGTTTAATTTATGCAGTCACGTGATTAAGCGTTCATGTGATTTATTTTAATTTTGTAACTTTATTTATTTACCGTTATCTAGCAACAATAAATTTATAAGTATATACTTGTCGGCTTGGTATCGAACTCTATTTGTATCTTCCTTTCAGAATTAAAAGTAAAAATAAAATAAATAAATCTAGCAACAATAAATTCTTTTCTGTTTTATATGAAGTCTTTATTATTAAATAAATCTAAAAATTTCAGCAGTAGTGAATGCAGAATTCAAAGTGTAAAATATCATTATAAAGTTGTGGACATTATCATAATTTTATAATAAACCCATTTTTCGTCTGTGTAGAGATTTCACAACGCAATTATAGTGCTTTGGTAGCGAATAACGATAATGCCTAAGAAAAGCAATCACTTCAGCTGTAAAATGACGTCGCTTGCGTCATTTAAATTTCAGGGGATTTTATCATGTCATCATCCATTTTAGGAAATGCAAAAATTAAAACATAATTCTGGCCATAATTATATTAACTACCAAGGCGATCACTTATGTGGCTTTAGAGCTGTCAGCAGATGAGAAACACTCAGGAAGGCCTCAGGCAGACCTGGCAAAGCCAGGACGCCCAATGACCAGCAACCACCTATCATCCCGTTCTTTTAAACATGCAAGCAGAGGTTATGGTCCAATTTATTGTATGTACTGTATGTAATGTATAAGATAAATGTTTCACAGAAATTCAGAAATTCAATCGATGATGAGTCCATTCGTGGAATAATAGTTTCTCTGTTAAAATTTTAGTTTTTCTTCTGCAAGTGGAAGATGATGTACATAGCATAACAGTGCCGTACTTTTCAAATAAAATTATTGTTAAAAAATGTTAATAGTTGTGCTATATGAAAAAGCGCGTGATAATATCATGTGACGACTGTGACGTACAAAACTGGTATAATTTGTCTTGGAGTCAGTGATTGAGAACCCGTAACAAAGAGAAGGGAAAGAACAAATACAAGAATGATACCCAAATATTTAATATTATCACGCAAATAAATATTGAAAAAATATTTATTTTCGTGATAAAAATATTATGAAGTATTTCATGTTACAAATAAATTATTTTTACGACACTGGACTAACATCAGAGATAATTCTGACTTCAGGGCATAATTTAATATTTTGTTAAAGAAAAATAAGTGAAAGAAACTTAAAGTTATTCAGGATATATAGATATATTTATATATTTATTTTCAACAAGGTTAGCATAAATGATTATGAAGTCATGAATTGTTTCTAAAACGCGTTTGGTTTTACTTTCATAAATACTTTTATTAAAGAATACGTGTGAAAGAAGCTTGAGTTGTTCAGCAAGTATAGAAATATTATCTTACTAATTTGTGGGTCTATCCACTAAAATAAATAATAACTTTTACTCAGAAAGTTATCATTGTAAAAAAGCCCATGGTTTAAAGTTTATGTCAAACTATAAAAAGGCAGTTCAAGCTTATAATTCTATTGATCTCGTTATTAATTGTGATATTTGAGCTCAAATTCGTAGCGAAGAATTTAAAAAATTATTCGTTATAACGAGGTAAATAGATAAACTGTACTGTACGGTCAGCTAAACTGTACTGTACGAAAATATTTTAGCCAATCATAACTCATTGTATACTTTTCAAATTTTTTTTATTTATCGTACAATAAAATCTGATTGGTGAATTCTCACTTCGTACAGTACAGTTTAGCTGACCGTACAGCACCTTTTTTATTTTCCATAATTATGAATTTAACGCCAAATTTGCAAATATTTGTTTATATTTTGAGGCAGCAATAATAATTATAGAGCAATTCCGGATATCATTTTTAGCCAAATTAATTCTATATAATCAACTTTTTTTTCTTTAATTTATTTAACTATAAACATTTTGTGCTCACATAAAAAAAGAAAGATTAAAAATTCACACTATGCAATATTATGATGGGCGTTCATATTTACGAAAACGTGTGATCTTCAATATTTTCTATTGTTCTTTAGATAATGAAACACCAAGTAAACTTGCTATCAAAGTTCGACCAATTATGTAGAACCAAGTTTATATGCAGACAAGAATCGACCCCATGACTATAAACATAAAACCTAACAAGAACTCCGAACAACAGCTGACCAATTTATGTATCGCATAATACCACAGGAGTGAACTCACAGATTTTCTAAACGTGAACCCGTTTTTAATGAACCCTAAGTTTAGTTAAATCATAGATAGGATACTGAACTTTAAAAGGAAAACGCCAAAGAGATAGCACGGAAGAAATAGGGAGCAAAATTTTTTACGCCCACTTAATTTGTTTCTAAAATATTGTACATACAATAAACTATTCAATGTCATACTAATGTTTATAATCATTTACGTAATATTTTATATAAATACCCTCAATTTATTTTTCAATCTTGACTTTTAAGAAAAATTATTGTTCAAAATTTTCTTAAAATAACAATATTTGTTTTCTTTTTATAATACAATTAAACTAAAAACATGAACCCATATCATACGAAAGATCAATTTTCTGAAAATTTTCAAACTATCATGACTAACAACATCGCACCTCAAATTAATCTTGAGCAAGCCTCAATCGATTCGCGTATGAATATTCCTTACGTGGCAGTGGAAAATGCTAACATTCATTCACAAAACCAACATTATGAGAATCCTGCATCCTATGCGATGATGACTCAATTCCCACATCCATTAGTAAATATGACCATCGTAAATCCGCCACCTCATCATCATATCGCATTTTTTTATCAACCGCCAAATGATCTTTATAATTATTGCATTAAGTGTAAAGAAATTTCATTTGATACTATTACTAGCTTCAAAGAAAATGAATACATTTTCTTTTATAAACGACAAAGCTGCAATCGGATTTATCAATTAGTTTGTGAGAAAGTTTCTCCTTCTTTAATTATTAATTTCTTAAACAAAACAATTTACGGTATTGAAATTGAACAGAATGTTGGATATGAACAGTTATCCATTACATTCGACCAAAAAGAAAATCTCAAATTTCATTTGAAACAACATCTAGATCGATACTTATTTGATTAATTATATATTTAAGATTATAAGGAAAAAAGATAGATATCACTTACTTTATTATGTCCAAGTAGTATATGGTAAAACTAGAATTTGTATCGCTGTAGACTGAACTTCTGGATTGAACTTTTTAATACAGTACATAATTTGTACTTGTATAAATAAATAAAGATAAATTAAATAAATTGGAAAGTCGAATTTTTAATTTAAATTTAAGCCAAATTTCTTATTTACGATTATTGACTATTTTATTTTAATATGTAATGTCGGCGTTTGTCACTAATTTTAATATATTAGTAATTGCAACAGACGTTTAGAATGGAAAGCATATTAATAATCAAAAGTTTTAATCCAAATCATAATATATGTATAATCCATAGTAAAATATGATTTATTAACACAATACAGTATTCGTTTAATATTTTTAAATGTGAATAAGAAAGTTCAATACTTACAGTATATTAACTGAATTTAATTATATAATACATGTTTTTGTATACAAAAAAATATTAAGATTTTATAGTAGAGACAATTTCACGATTTCCTATCCAACATTTCCGACTTCCCTTGGTTTAAAATTTAGAGTGAATGTTAATATGAACATTGATAGTTGTTGAAAATAAGTTAGGATTTAATGGTTCTCTTAATAAAATGTTAAAATGTTAAAAGATGAATAGATTTATAGCGCTGTTTGAAACCAATATCCCCGATCTTCTTCATATCTTAAATTTATGCATAAGCTAATAAACATGATGATCAAAAAATAAATAAATAAATAAATAAATAAACATGATGATCATTTCGCTTTAAAGAATAATAATAATCCTATTTTAATATTTATTTAATTGCTGAAGTTTTGTTGACTTAGTGCATAAAAATCAACACTATGCATAAACACGTCATTATTTTTTCTTCTTAAAAAAGAAGAATCACGTTCTATACATACTTATGTATTATTTATTAAAAAGCTTCTATTAACGTTTCTTTGTCTTTACCCGGTATATTTAATATCAAAAGTATTATTATTACTTTTTGATAAATTTAATATATGAAGTGAACGTATATTTTGATAAAAGATGAATTTATACAATTTATATGAAATATTTTTTTTTTTCGCATGCATTATGATTATAATAACAGTAAAATTGTATTTCGGATACACTTTAAATTTGATTTTTTTTTTCGCATGCATTATGACATAATAATAGTAAATTTTATTACGGATACACTTTAAATTTAGAAATTTCACGCGGAAATATCTCCGAGAAAAATTCTATTTATCCAATCTAAAAATCGGTTGAAGAAAGCGAATACTCTTTTCATAAAAGAAATATTTTGATGCAATGGGGAAATTTTTAATTATCTCCGGACTTTTTTTTCGCTTTATACGATTTTATATGATATGTATTAAAAAGGAATTCATATTTAAACATTGATAATAAAGTTTCAGCTGTAGCATTGGTTGAACTACGTAATTACGTAATTTTCATTGCTCTTTGAATATGATCCCAAAAAGGATAGACTATGAAAATGTTTTTGTTGATCTTTTCCTTTTTCTTTTTTAAGTTTCCATACCGGATTATATACTTATATTTATAACTCTCGCGTTATGCGAATGAGCTTCAGCAGTGAAAATTTCTAATTTCATCAGAAAGTAAAAAACACCGCTAAAAAATCTGGGCTCTCTTACATGGTTACATAAGTATACCGTCAAAATCAAGTGGCTGATTCTTACATACTCGGCTAAAGTACATTTATTAATAATTCGCAATATCTTTGAAAAGAAAGAAAAATAAAGCTGGAAAGTTATTATTTGGCTTTTTCATAAGGATTTTTGATCATTTGATTATGCAGGTGAGCGAGAGATTGACTCATGTTTTAATAGATATGTTACAACTTATGCCATATTTACTATATGTTGGATTTTTATTGTACGTTCATAACGTCCTTTTCGTATTAATTGTAAAAATAGTAACCTTGAACCTTGATATATTGTCACCCGTTGCAGCAATAGTAATATATATGTTGTGCGTCAGATGACGATTGGCGTCAGATGCAGCTGACATGCGTTACCTGAATCACATGATAAAGGTCTCTTATAACTCATAAACTTTTTTTTTTTACTAATGTAACTACTTTTTATTCCATAAGTAAACTTGTATGTGACAAAAAGATACATATATTATGAAAATTTATGCCTATTGTTTGAAAAGACTTGTAATTTATTAATACTTTTGAATGAAATGCTTCTCCACGAATTTGAGTTTAAATTAATTTAATGTTTAAGATTACATATTTTTTAATATAATTAATAAACTTAATTAATAAAAAAAATTTATTAAGTTTAGAAAATTTAAATGTTTAAGTAGGCGTAACTTGTGATATAAAATTGTTATAATTATGTTACGTCAGCAGTGTTGGTATTTTCTGAAATCTGGAATCTGGAAACATGTATTCCAGATTTATTACAGTGGTTTTTAAAGTACCGGAATCAAATTTCCACCATTGGAATCAATTTGGAATCAAAATTCCAATGTTCCAAATTCCAGTTTCCGGTAAAATTTTCACTGGAAACCGGAATTTCTCATCACTGCACGTCAGGTATCAATCTATATCTGACGCAAATCGTCATCTGACGCACAACATAAATAAAATAAATATAAAATATAAAGAAAAAGAACTTGAATGAGAACAAATAAAAATCAGCCAAGCTTTTCAAAATAAAAACTAACAAATATATGAATTTATTTACCTTTCCGGCTGTACAATCTCATATCAAGAAAATTCGACTCTTAATATTTAATGAAGAGAACAAAAGGAGGATCACTTTCCTCATTGAAACGAAAATTTTTACAAAAAAAAAATATATTTCTTCCTCTTTCTTAAAACCAATTTAAAGTCTTTGGATAAACAAGTTTGTTTGCTTTTCCGACACAACCAACTGATGAACTCTGTACTGTAAAGTAGGTTATTTTTTCTTTTGTGCTAACATTTACGATCATAAAAACATTATTCCTCCACGTTTGAGAAGAAAAATTTGAGCATTTTTTGAAAGATTTAATTCGGATGGTGAGAACTTTTTCTTAGTTTATTTTGTCCGTTTGTCCACGTTCTTCACGCTGACAGGTATAAATAAAGGAATTTGCAAAAAAAAAAATTGATGAGTTTGACTGAGATAATCAAAGCAATATAAATGAATAAATTTATTTTTTCTTTAAAGATCATATTTTGTACAAGTAAGAAGTTTTTTTCAAAGTAAAAACAATTTTTTTATTATTAAAAGTTATTTTACAAATTATTTTTTGCGATCGATTTCTTCAAACGTTCTTATTGTTTAGGTAATTTTTAAAGAATTTGAGAAAATATTTCAAAAAAAAAAAAATTCGTAAAAGCAGGCAGGAAAATTTTTCTTTCGTTGTTAAAATATTTGGTTAAGCGCAAAAGCGGGTTATTTTATAAAAAAAATAATTTTTTTTTTATATTTTCAAAACGCACAGATCAGTCTAAAATCTAAATAAGTCAAAAAGATTTTATCTTGTAATTTATATAAAAAGCGTAAATTAAAAAATACGCATATTATATAGTATACATATTGTACAACCTCATATGCAAACAGCAACAAAGCGGTATATTTTCTCTTGATGGCTACCTAAATTTGATTTTCTTTTTAATAACTACGCTAAAATTACAGTCTAATCTTGATACACCGAACACCATATAAACTTTATATAACGTATACCAAACTTCTATTGATTTACCGCTTATTATAAAACATATTCACATGATTTGCCAATTTCGCCTGAAATTAATTAATTTCGGCCGGAATTAGAACCACTTTTTGGCCTAAATTAATTGATGCCAAAACATCTTAATTCCGGCCAAAATTGGGATCAATCACGTGATTTTCTCGATATATCGAACTTTCCCTAAAAACTTAGAGGTCGGTATATAAAAAAAAAATTTTTCTTTACCGAACTCTACTATATACTGAACTTTTACTCCAAGAATTTTTATTATATATAGTTTTCAACCTATATAAGAATTTTTGAAAATTCAGACTAAAAATATAGAAAAACTACTTTGTATGATAGTAGCAAATCTACCCTTTACACTATAAAGAACCGTATATTGACAAATATTTCACGTAGTCTATTAAAGTTACCGCGGAATTTATTAAGGACAAGGAATTTATTACATAATAATTTCACTTAATATTAACTAATTTTCTCTTAACGTTTACATTTGCTCAATTTTAAAATGTATAAATAAATTATAAATTAAAGATGAAATATTTCATCATTCAGTTTAGAATGAAATTAGAAAAAAGCTACCATTCGCTTACTTCCAACCATGTTTTACCCAAGAGGAGCATAGAATTAGCAAGATGATAACTTTCGACTTCACTGCGATTCTCGTCATGAAGAACTTTTTCACAGGCTTCACGGACGATGGAAGATATTTCTGACTTCGAAAGATTCCAAACTAGTTTATTGGTCTAGATTCTCAAGCGTATGTTTAGTTACGAAAAGTTTTATTTTAACTTTTTAGATAACATGGCTTTTACATTACCTCTTCCAGATCAGGATTATTCTTGGTTCGAATCATTAAGTATCCTAAGGTAAAGTTTATAAAAAACTCCAAACGCTCCTTAAGAGAGCTAAAATATTTACTGTATACTGTAGAAGACTTATTTAGGTAGGTTTTTGCCTCATCGGTGTAGATTTTTCCTAAAGTAAATAAAAGCTTTTTGCCATTAGGTTCAGCGGAAAGTTTTTTAGCTTCTTCATAGAGATTTATTTCAAATTGTGAAGAATCGTCTTGCTCTGGGAATTCTGGGAATCGAAATAATTTATCTTGTAGATAACGAACAATGCTGGACATGCGATTGTCATGTCGGCGCTTTTTCTGTACAGTTGAGGCTAAAATTTTTAATTCATTGTTAATAAATGAAAGCGACCAAAAGCCAATTTCTAAGTTGCCAATGTAGGGTTGCCATAATTCTCCTCCTACGTATGGGTTGAATGATGCTTTATCTTCAAGAGCTATAGAATTAAATAAAATTATATATAGGTTAAGAGAAGTAGGAAATTATCAATAAAAATTCAGATTTTACAATTATCTATTGTTCCATAGTAATCATAAATAAAACGGCTACTATCATCAGCGAGGATTTGGTATGCTTTTGAGATTTTTCCCCACTGCATTAAGAACATTGAGTTAATATGCAAATATGTAATAAACAGAGATAAAATTTGGTGTATGGTGTTATACCTCTTCTGCTTCATAGCCGTGATTCTTGTCCGGATGGTACTTTATCGCAAGTTTCCTATAGCTTGAGCTAATCTCAGTTTTGGTCGCGTTGGGTTTTAAATTAAGGATTTCATATAAATCCATTTCTCTTGGTTTATTGACAGCTAATGCATTATGAAAAATTAGCAATGTACGTGACAAGGTGTTTGGTAAGTACTTTTTTTTGTTTATTTTACCGCGAATAAGTTCGCCTTTCTTTGTTTTCTTTGACCATTCGTTTATTAATGACTTTCGGCGTTTGCTATATTCGTTCTCGTTGATTTTACCGCTCTCTAAATGACGTTTGTTCTCTCTCAATTTTTCATGAAGATCCATTTTCTAGTTTTTTAGCTATGTTATTTCGACGTTTTTATAAGCAATCATCATTTATACTGGACAGCAAATAATAAAAATAATGATTAACCAGATTTGGAATAAAATAAAAATTATTGTGTGATTATTACTATGATTATTTGGTTTATACTATGACTATAGTATATTCTGCAAACAGCAAACTTTCAATGATTGTCGTGGTTTTGGATAGTTTTGGTATTCTGTATGCTATAGGTACGGAAACTAAGATTCTGAATTAACTAATTTAAATAATATTACTTTTAAAAAAGTACTTAAATTTGTATGAATCATTAACTTAGTATGTGTAGTATCATACATTCATACTGCTTTTTTCACGATACATTAAGTAAATTTTTATCATATCACAATGAAGAATCTCGTGTTTATTATTATGTCAAAAGCTTTTCCGTTATAATTTCATTGATCCTTTTAATCGAAAAGCTAAATATTATTATATTTTCATGCGTATGTACAAATATTTGGATGTTTAATCGGATATACTATACATTTTATATATTGACCATACCCAAAACTTATTATACCCAAACTTAGCTAGGTTAGCGTTATATCTTAGAACATAGTTGGTGACATCAATAAATTGACGTATTGTAAGTATCGTATATATTTTATTTTTTTCAATGATAAGAAATCTATTTATATATATACTGTAGAGAGATAATTGCTTGACGCTTTGTAATTTTTTATGAAACAGAGTTTCGCTCGTATCTTTAATACCAAACAGATTCATTTAATGGACTAAAAATCTATTTTACTCACATACAATAAATTTTATCATACGTAAAGAAGGAAATACAGTATGACAAGCGACACAGAACTCATCTCCAGACTTCGTGTTCTTAAGAAATCTTACGAAGAAGAGTTGTTGACAAAGGATGAATACGATGAATATCGTCTTAAAGAACTAGATGATTGGTCCAATAGTGAGTTTAAAAATATATATATATTTCTTATTTGTAGTTTTCAAACTTTCATTAAGTTTTGTGACTTATATTTATACATTAGACCAAGAAGAAGAGAGATCATTTTGGAGAAATTTATGGGATAAAACATGCAGAACTGGCAATAGCGTCTTAAAAAGCATGATTAAGCCCATTGTTGATTTATTGATTCTTACTAAACTAATATCACCTTGAAAGTCTTGACTCTTGAAGGATGCACTTCTATTTGAAAATACGACAATCATCAATGTGTAGGACATATGAAAAATTCTTTTCTTTTTTGATTATTAGTAATTCTAATTTAAGTTACATTTTAATTAATTGTTATAAATTAATCCAAATAAAACCAATTAATTAATTCAAAATTTAAACATTTTTCATCCGTAGAGGAAGTTAGAAATTACAAATAATGTATTTTACCTTAATTTTTATTAGCTTTTTCAATTATTCAACCAAAAATTAAATGGTACTAAACATACAATAATTCGTAAAATTTGACTGTGATACCGGCCAAAAAAAAAATTAAAATGGGTGTTATTATTATTATTTTGATATAGATGCTGTACGTTACATTATTTTTATTAACAAAATCAGCCTAGTCTTCTGATCCTGACCAAGAACCTGATCCGCAGGATCCGGCCCGATTTTGAAATCTAACAGTGATTAATATATACAGTACATGCGTATTTTTACAACTTCGATTTACCGAAATGGGCAAAATTATTGATGGTAAATAACATCTTGCATCTATCAAAAAGGTAATTAGTCATATAAGTTTTACAATATTTAGCCACGATTAGCTTGCGGGTTCATGGATATCTCATCTTAGCCCTGCTGATGGTTATAAATATAAGCGCTATTATAAAGATCTCAATAAAAAAAAAATTCTTTAACGGAAGTAGAACGTGAAACATTTGAATGCTTGAGTTTCTTTGTGGTAAATTGTTAAAAAAATTCTGATAATGATGAGTTGTAAAAGAAAAATTAATATTCTTATTATTACTTTCAAAATATCTAATAATTTTTTATATTATTTAGTTGAATACTACCGGCCACAGTACCCCCCTATGCACAGTACCCTACAAAAAAGAACTCCCATTTTCTACCGATTTTATTATTTAAAATAATTTAATAAATACCTAGGTATTACGCATGATAAATACCCAATTATTATATAGGTTTTACTAATACATCACGGCGGATTTATGAAATACCCTAAATTTGTCCGTCATGTCAAATTAAATAAATATTTGACAGTCTTTTAGTCACCAAATTTCCAAAATTTATTAGTGAACAGTCAAAAATGAGCTCTAAAAAATTTTTTTGTACCCCAAATCTTGCGTCTACCAATTTTTCCGTTACCTAACCAATTTTCCAGTGTTAAAGGTGCGTCATATTTGACATTTTTTAGGAAAAAAGCTTAATGTTTCTGTAAGTCAATTTTAATTCCCGAGGGCGCAGCAGGGTTTTTGCCAAATTTCATAAATCCGCCGGCCGCCGCAGTGAATAAAAACTCACGCAATGGTGGGGGGTATAAGGTCAAAACCTCTGAAATCTGTATCATACCCGGTGTGGCCCCCGTTATACGGTATGATCTTTGTAACAAGAACAGGAAATCTTTAGTCTTGTGCAACTGGGAATTGCATTTGCTCCTACTGAAAAATTTCGACTATTAACAGTCCAATGGCTAGTTTTGTTTTTGATATAATTAATTAACACAATATCTTTTCTTTAATAATTGATAACCGTCCTTTTCAACATATTAAACTTATTACTCAATTTTCTGAAATTACTACAAAAATAAAAAATACAAACCTAATTCTAAAATTATTTACTAAAAAAATCTATATATATAAATATAAATATAAGGAAAAAGAACTTGAATGAAACAAAATAAAAATTAGCCAAGCTTTTCAAAAAAAAAAAACTAACAAATATATACTTTTCCGGTTGTATAATCTCAAAAAATGAATCTCAAGAAAATTCGACTATTAAGATTTAATAAAGAGAACAAAGGAGAACCACTTTCCTCTTAGAACTTTCTGAGTTTATTTTGTCCGTTTTGTTCACGTTCTTCACGCTGACAGATATCAAGCTTTTTTTTTGCAAATTTCTTTATAAGAGGAGTGTATAGTGTAGTTATGAGTTTGTCTGAGATAGTTAACAATATAAATGAATGATGGTTGTTCCATTTATTTATTTTTTTTAAAAGATTACTTTTTGTACAAGCAAGAAATTTTATTGTTTAAAGAATTTGAGGATACAGTCAGCCCTTGATATAACGAAGTAGGCGTCCGGGCCGATCAGCCCTTCGTTATGAGAAAATTCGCTAATGCTATTGTTACGCGATTTCTTGCGCACGTGATTTCCGATATTGTATGAATGTATGGAGATTTCAGTACATTTGTGTACATGTCGATTTCCGGTGTTACGAGCCGATTTACGCCGATACATAGTTGCTGATTTGTTAACTATATTAAAGATATTGATTTTATATGATATATTTACATATATATCATTATTATATTTATTCAGTTTATTTAATTATTATTATTTATATTTTTATACGTCCCTTAATTAATTACCGTAACACTATACGAATTATTCGGTATAGCAGAAAAATTTGGTATAATGCGGTAAAATATAGAAAAATCAAATACATTTGTAAAATGTCAGATCACGGAGGCAAAGAAATTTCAAAGCATAAATCATCCATCTTTTGATAAATGAATTAAAATGGTAAAATTGCTTATTTGGGAAAAATTTCATGAAGGCAACATCAAATTATCTTTTATATTAAAATTTATCTTGCAAAAATCTTCGTTATACTAAAAAACAAATTCGTTTTAAAAGCAGTTCGTTATAAAAAGGGTCATTTACATATGTGAAATCATAAATTTTTCTTCGTTCAACGTTATAATGCATTTTATTAGTAAAATTCGGTGTAACGAATTTTTTTTCATATGACTAAATGCGTACCACACTAAAGATTCGTTATATCGTGAAATTCGTTATATCAAAATTCGCTATAGAGAGGGCTGACTGTATTAAAATAAAAAAAAATTCACCAATCACCAAAGCAGACAGAAAAAAAAAAATTTTTTCGTTGTTAAATAATATATTTGGACTAAAACATTGTTGTTAAAACGTCAAAGAGGAAACATTTTATAAAAAAAAATTTTTTAACTTGTAAAATAAGTAATTAATCAATCAGTATAAAGATTATATGATTATATGTAGTTTTCACTTTTCATAAACAATGCTTACAAATAAAATTGGTACTTAAAATTATTCATGTTACCTATATAAGAATTTTCCCTTTGACTCGTCTCATTTTTTTAAAGGGATATAGATATAGGATTCAGAACTAAAATATAGAAACTTTCCTGTATGATATAAGTAACAAAGCTACCCTTCGCACTATAAAAAATTATTATGCAGCCTATTAAATCTTGGTAGACGTTATTTTTGCCATGGGGTGAAAATAACACGTTATTATTTAAAAAATTATAAAAACTGTTAAAAGTAGGCATCTCGGGTGGCATGCATAATAACACCTTTAAATAATGGAAAGAGTTTATTGTATAATAATTTTCACTTAATATTAACTAATTTTTGCTTAAACTGATGAATTTGCTCGATTTTAAAAATATATGTATGTATAAACAGAAATATACAACATCATTTGAAGAATAAAGCTAGAAAAAAACTACAATTTGCTTTCTTCCAGCCACACTTTACCCAGGATACACATATATTCGGCAATTTGAATACTTTCAGCTTCACTGCGATTCTTGTCATGAAGAACTTTTTCACAGGTTTCTCGAGCGATGGAAGATATTTCTGACTTTGAAAGCTTCCAAACTAATTTATTGACCTAGATAATCAAGCGTATATTTTAGCTATGAAAAGTTACATTTTATTTTTTTTTTTTAATTATGACTTTTACATTACCTCTTCCAGATTTGGTTTGTTCTTAGTTAGGCTCGTTAAGTATCCAAAGAAAATATTTAAAAATAACAGCAAACGCTCTATAAAATCATTACTCTCTACTGTAGAAGATTTTTTAAGGTAGGCTTCTGCTTCATCAATGTAGATTTTGCCTAAAGTGGATAGAAGCTCTTTACCATTATGTTCATAGGAAAGTTTTTTAGCTTCTTCACAGAGGCTCTTTTCAAATTGTGATGATTCGTCTTGTTCTGGGGATCGAAATAATTTATTTTGTAAATAACGAACAATGCTGGATACGCGAATGGCATGACGGCGCTCTTTTTCTCCAGTTGAGAATAAATTTTCTAATTCGCTGTTATCCATAAATGAAAGCAACCAGAGGCCAATTTCTAAGTTGCCAATGTAGGATTGCCATAATTCTCCTCCTACGTGTGAGTTGAATGATGCTTTACTTCCTAAGGCTATAGAATTAAATAAAATTTAGATAGATTAAGAGAAGTAGGAAATTGTTATTAAAAATTCAGACATTACAATTATTAATTGTTCCGAAATTATCATAAAGTGTACGGCTGTTATCATCAGAGAGGATTTGGTATGCTTTTGAGATTTTTCCCCACTACATTGACATTAAGTTAATATGCAAGTACTTTATATAACGAACGGGAGCTAAGGAAAATTTGGTGTTATACCTCTTCGGTTTCAACGCCGTCATTCTTGTCAGGATGGTACTTCTTCGCAAGTTTCCTATAGCTTGAACCAATTTCATCTTTAGTCGCGCTGGGTTTTAACTTGAGGATTTCGTATAAATCCATTTCCTTTGGTTTGTTAACAGCTAATATATTATGAAAAATTAGTAATATACGTGACAAAGTGTTAGTTTTTTTGGTATTTTACCGCGAATAGGTTTAATTTTCTCCGTTTTCTTTGACTCGTTTGTCCATTTGTTTAATAATGTCTTTCGGCGTGTGCTATATTCGTTCTCATTGATTTCACCGTTCTCTAGTTGACGTTTGTTCTCTTTTAATTCTTCACGAAGATCCATTTCTAGTTTTATATTTACGAGACGTTATTTAATATTTTTTATAATTTTTTTTTTTTATTTATATAAATACATGTATTTATGTGATTATGAGCAAATAATTACCATGATGGTCATAATAGTATGGTGATCTACTGCAATGATGTATGTATAACAAAAAATTTATTTTATAAACATAACAAACAGTATATAATAAAAGAGATGTAAATAAAATAAATTTAAAAATTAAGCTGTTGATATTATACTCATTTTAAAACAATTGAGTATAATAAATTTTATACTCAATATCGATTTTAGCGTCATCCTATTATACTTATTATGTACAGTAGTAAATCAGTACAGTATAATGGGTATAATTGTCAAATTTAATTGTATAATAATAATTATAATTTATATTTCAGTTATCCATAGATAACATTATAGAGTATAAATATTACTATACAATGATATAATCCGAAAAATTCAGCCGAAGGCGCGATAAATTTTTGGTTAACAACAACCAGCCGAAAAAAATTCATGTTTGACCTTGAATATTTTATTGGTTCAACATCTACTATTTTCAGCTGAATATTTTAGTCTAAATACACTTTTTTTTAAAATAATAGTGTAGTTAGCTGAAATATCCAACCAGGAGCGCAAGAAACGCCAAGAAATACATATATAATTTTCCAGGAGACCAAAGCGAACTAGCAAGAAAAGGAGGCAACATCAAAATGTGATGATTTATATATATTAAATTTAATTAATTTATTTATTAACTTTAAATTAAACATTTGACTAATAATAAAGACGATTTCCTGTTTACGCGAGTTTCCGAAAAAGTAAATTTTCTATGCTGATCATTTAATGTTGGACAGAATTAAATTTAATCGAAAAATCAGGAAAAAAAAAAAATTTGTTAAATAAAATCAAAATCGACATTTAAAATCAACTTTGACGCTTTTAAGTAAACTTGCAGAACAGACAAAAATACACATATTGGATGTTTTTTTTAAAAATTATATTTATTAAATTTTTTTTTTTACATAATTTTTTAATAAAGTCACGTGATACGACTGATACGTGTATGAACACTCAATAGTAAAATACTGTATATAAAAATTTTATAATCATTTATACTTTATTAAGCTATAATAAATGTTCAAACAAAATTTATTTTAATTATACTAGTATTCAATTTATTCAATTTAATTATACTCCTTAAATTATTGTGATATTTGTTATTTACGGCTAACTACGTAGTTAGCCATAAATATAGCCGTAAATAGTCGGGCTGGGTGTTGTTGACTGCCTTCGGCTGAATTTTTCGGTTAACTACACCATTATTACAATACAATGGTCGTGGATAATGAATAGTATGGATATATTGTATAGACACGTAAATATATAATTTAAAGGAAAAAGTAAAAAAATGACGATAAAATTAACTATTTACAAAATAGGTGTTATCCTTTTTGAGTCTTGTTTTGATGCAGATGTGAGTAAATTATAAAGAAAATTTCATTATAAAATTGAGATGGAATGTTGAATAAACTAATTTAGAAGAAATACTTTAAACTTGTGTCGATATTTGTATATTGTAGAAAGTACGTATAAAATAATTGTTAAAACGCTTTGTACTTTTAATGAAATCGAGTCTCATCATACCTTTAATTCTAAACGGATCCATTTAATATTTCATTTACATAAAATAGTATTATCATACGTAAAGAAAGAAAATACGATATGGCAAGTAACACAGATTTCATCTCCAGGCTTCGGACCCTCAAGTTAGCTTATGACGAGAAGTTGATAACAAAAGATGAATATGATAAATGTCGTCTTAAAGAACTAGATAATTGGTCCGAAAGTGAGTTAAAAAATATTTTTCCTATTTATAGCTTTCAAAACTTTTATTAAGTGTAATGAATTATAATAAACCAATCTTTATATATTAAGATCAAGAAGAAAAGAAATCGTTTTGGGGGAATTTATGGGATAAAGCATGCAAACTTGGCAGTGCCATCTTAAGAAACATGATTAGGCCCATTGTTGAAGGGACATTATTGTTAACCGGGTCTATATTTAAACTAATATCGCCTAAGACTTAAAGTCAATACTTCTACAACAAATTATCAATCTCTTAAAATTTGAAAAACGAGTAAATTCTGATTAAAGTAGAAGATTGCTTCGTATAAAAAAAATCATTTTTTTTTGATTATTAGCACTTCTTATTTGAGTTTCATTTTCAAATAATTGTTATAAATTTATCCAATAAAACCAAAATAATTATTAATTCACATTTTCATCCATAAGTAAGGTCGGAATTATAAATAATGTATTTGCCTCGCACTAGATGATTCTATAGGCTTTCCATCAATTTATTAAGCTTTTCATTTGAAAAAAAAAAAACTCATTTGATTAATAATGTGATATAAAGCTTCTATACAAACTTCATCAACTCATTTAAGCAAAAAAAATATTTTGAGAAATATAAACAATAGCTTTAATAATGGATAATAGACGTGTCCGCCCTTATCAAATTATTACTCGATTCTAAACCAGAAACATACAATGCCACTTTTTACCGCAATTGCTAGCACTGCATATAGTATTCCTCTTTGAGCGTACCCCACTTTATAAGACCCGGATATTTAACTAGATACAAAAATTTTACTCTTGTTTAGTGCCCTCCTTAATTCTGGTAACTCAAGCTTAATTCTGGTATACCAGGTATTATATAAGGGCGTAAAATATAGTTCTCACAAAATACCCCGGGTATTATTCAATTTTTGAACCAGATTTTTTGTATAAGACCCGGGGCACTATATGCAGTGCTAGACGGTACTCATGAAGTTCCTGAATGTCTCAATTTATAGGAATGATGATTGAGCTAATGTTGAATTATTTAAGCGGAATAATTTGTCTCCCTGGAATTTGTCTTTTTTGTCCTATATGATTGTTAAATTACTAAAGTTATCAATTATTCGGCTATAAAGGAACATGTTTGGGCTCGACATGATAACATTTAAAGTCTTTAGCGCATTGAAAGTTCATTGATAATATAACTTCAATTACCAAATTACCTCACATACTTCATTATCTCAGTTTTAATTCAGGAGAGTAAGAACCTCAAATTAAGGAGAATTTTATCAACATTTTTTTTATTTGCTTTATTGTAAGAAAGAAAATTTGATTATTGAAGACAATTTGATTTTTATTATATTTAAATGATTTTCAATTTATTGATCTTAAAATAATTTATGTTGTTACAAAAATACAAACCGTATTATCAATCGTAATCTAATAATTTACTTCATTATGTTCAAAAGAATCATAAGAATCATATTGAGTACCAACTTGTCTAATAATATAATTAGCTAATTTATGCCCTGCCATAATGCATTCATCAATACTTTTACCTTGAATAAATTGACTTAAAAATCCTCCAACAAATGAATCACCAGCTCCTGTAGCATCAATTAAATCATTTTCTGCTATTGGAATTATAGGATATTCTTTAATTGTACCATTTTGATCCGCATAAATAGTGGACCTTGCATCCCTTGTTATTAAAGCCATACGAACGAAATTGGAAGAGTGTTTTGGTAATTGAGCTAATTTTTTTGTTACCTCAAATATATCTGTTGTCTACACATTAAATAAAAAGTTAGAAAAGAGTCATAACAAAATAAATAAATAAACAATATGAATATTTACATTCCAATTTGACATTTCAGCAAATGCTAACGCTTCAGATTCGTTACCAAAAATAATATCCCAATATGGAGAAATCTCATCCATTCGATATTTATATTTTGTTACTAATTTAACTGAACCTAAGTTAGTGGCATAAATCTATATAAAAGTATTTATAAATAGAATTAGAATTAGAGAAAATTCTAATATTACATGTATTATATGCACGAACGTACGTACCTTATTATTTTCTAGAGCATGTTTATAGATTTCTTTTACAATATGAAAATTTTCTTTTAAAATAAATCCACAAACATAAATATATTTTGCATTTTCTACAAATTTCCATTTTGAAGGTGATTTCAAATCTTCTAAATTATATTGCGTCGCAGCTCCTTTATTATTTCTCACAAAATAACTTTTATTTAAAAAAAAAAAAATTTGGATTAGGAGAAACAAAAAACTAAAAAAATAAAAAAGAAAAAAATAATACTAGTTCACTTAACTTGTTGTTAGATAATTTACTAAAAGAACTAACACCAGTTGGGTAATCATCAATTTCCGTATATTCAGTTCTTACCCCATCATTATTTAATACTCTTCTTAATATTTTTCCCATTTCATCTTTACCTATACATCCTATTATTACCGTTGAATTCGGTGGAAGTAATCTCTATATTTATTTATTTTAAGAAAGATATAAAATTAGTATAAAGAGGACATAAGAAAGTTAGAATAAAATATCTACTTGAGCTCCACGGAGAGAATTTTGTGCCGTGCCACCAGGAACTTTTAATGTATCAGGATATTTAGAAACCTCATTTAAACTAATAATGATTTAAATTTAATATAATTAAGATATAATAACAGATAATAATTAATTTTTTTTTTTAAAAGAAAAGTAATATTAGTTTATACGTACAATCCATTGATTTTATTAAAGTCTTTATCAATTGGTTTTGGTAAAAGTCCATATTTTTTAATTAATTTTTCAACTTCTTCGTTATTATATACGAATAAGTCTATTAAAGAATTACCAATACCGAGTAATATATAGTCATTAGAAGTTTCAGTTAACATTTTTGAGGTAAAATTTAAAGTTTGCTTGAAATCCTTACTTTTTCGAATTTATAATTGATTTACCCAAGTGTTGTTACACAAATCGTACAAATGGATTGATTTTCGGACCGCAGTCAATTTAAAACAAAATTTTTATGCGGTCAAATTAAATATAATACTGCGCCTCAAAATTATTAGATAAAGCCAGCTTCTACAGAGATCGGAGTAGTTTTGGCCGGCATAACAGAACTCATGTGACATATAAGGGATGACAAATAGGGTAAGTACCGGAATACTTAATAAAAATGAAAAGTAGAGGAGTGTGACAATGCGTATCAAATATTTTTACTATTATCACGTGATACAACTTCGCTTTAGGAACCAACCACCCTAGCGTCGCCTCCAAAAAATGGTAGCCGGGTTACATACCCTGTAAAAAAAAGTCGATCCGTTTTTTATATTCCGTCTTTTTTTCCGTAAAAGGCTCATATTTCCGGAATTAATAATAACCTAATTTATCGAATTATTTACATTTTCCGTGAATGGATCCGTGAAAGGCTCATTTTTACGGAGTTTTTACAGAAATAACGGATAAATTTTTATAGTTATATAATATTATGGATGTGACAATTAATGGCGACAATTAGAGTCCTTACATATAAAAAAAACCCTAAGTCCACAAGACATAAGCATTGTAGTCGCATTTTCAACATCTAATCCTAATTCTAATCCCAATCCCCTTACCCTAAACTTAACTAGTCCTAAACCTAATTCTAAAAAACCGGAAAAATGAATCCGGCTAACAGCCTAAGAGTGAATCAGAAATAGTGTTTCTAATTTTTGATCTGAAATTTCACAATAAGTCTGAAAATAAATCATCTCATGGCAAGTTAGCGGTAATTAAAAACAAAATCTTTCATATGATCGATTTTAGTTGGAGATAGATAAACAAACATATTTGCAAAAATTTTAGCATAAATAGGAACGGAATATAAATAGCGAAAAAATTAGTATTTAGGTAGTTTAGAGTAGTGGTCACTTTATGTCGAAAAATTTCTCCCTTTAAACTCTCTACTCTATTCATTTTATTTCCAGTAATAAGATATTTGCAATATTACCGAATTTTTAATGTTAGATTCTTTTTATGCATTTAAATTACAAAACAAAGGTATTCAAATATTAAAAGCATAACAGAACTAAAATTTAATACTATACTAGATAATTTTCAGACCCATAGATTTTAATGTCAAAACTATAATTAAATTAAAGCAAAAAGAGGAAAAAATGATGCTAGAATCCATAACGATAATGATCAATCGAAATGGATTAATAATGTTCTTGAAAAAATATAGTCATAGATAGATTGGTTGATACAAATCAGCTAAGGAACATTTATCGACTTTTGGATCCTGATAACATAAAGAAAAGTCACCACTAGTTATGAACATCAATTCAAGAAGCGCAATCATTCATCACAAAACATGACAGTCAATTGATATTACCGACTTTTCAATCATTATCAGGACGCGTACGAACCTCTTTCGTGAGATACATAGGTAGATATCTAAATGCAGCAGGAACATCTGGAATTAATTATATAGACTTTCCGTCAATATAGTTGGGCCATATTAATTTTTATATATTTTATTACAAGCAGGCTCTGTCCCAAATATTGGAAATTCTCCACCATAATTCCAATACCGAAGCCGAATAAATTCATATTCAATATGGAAAATGTAAGACTAGTCGCATTATTTGACATACTAGGGAAAACATTAGCAAAGATGTTAACCACTAAACTGGGAAGGATTTTTACGCTTAATACAATTCTTTGTGAATGGACTTAAAGGAGATTCCACTCGTAATCCGATCCATTTACTCAATAATGTAATAGAAGATGCAAAACTTATCACAAAGAATTATGGATATTCTTTCAAGATATTAGTAAAATCGAGAATCTGGATCATTACTATAATTACAAAAAAATGCGAGCTAATGATCCTTCAGCTCCACCACCCAACCGGTACGTCTCTAGGAAACAATGAAAAGACCGTATCTCTAGGTATATGGATCTCACTAAAAACACGAAAAGACTAACTAAAAAAATTAAAAATATAAGGGACATCTTAAAAATCGTGTCAAGAAAAAAAAAATCTTAATAGCACATGCGAGATATTTAATTAACAAAGTATTCTATCCAAAGATAGTCTACATTTTCAAAACAGTAGTTCTCATGGGATGGAATGATAGAATTGAATGCCCCGATCCTTTCATTTGAATAGAGTTTACGGTAATTGATCACTATATTAATCATCACTAAGAGAGTCAATTCCGGCGTTATCCAAACTGATCAGGCTTAAAAAGGAGCAGTTTAGAATGAAAATTCCTTCCGTTCTTAATTCTGAAAAAAAACACAAACAATTATCAACTATTATACCGAACCGAAGCACAATCAAATTTAGTGTATATTAACGTCATACTAGCCGCTGATCTTAACTCATCCTTTATAACAGATAATTTGAGCGCGAAAATTTCACAATTAAGAGACAAGGCTCTCTTAGTTGGTCTTAACATTTTAAACCCACAACACTCATGCAATCATCGAACTATCTTTTATCTTACTTACATCAGGACAAGAAAATACATTTGGCAACGACTCAGATTTCTTGCCAGAAAGAATCCATCTTTTCAAACAGATTAATCAAATTTTGTATAAGATATTTATTGTCGTTATTTATTAATTCTTATTAACAATTTTTCAATTTTTATAGTACAAATAACTATTCTCATGGAATAAATCTAGTGGACAGCAACATATTTTTGTTATACGAAATATTTTATCAAATAAATTGCTATACGTTCGTTGAAAAAAAAAGAGATATTTAAAAGCAATCATTTATCATTTTGTTATCATACATAGTAAAATAGCAAGATTATGTAACCAAAAACTTAAAACAAATGCTCTCCAAGATCTATGCATATTCATATTGCATATTGATCTACATTATCCATTTATCGATGCAAACCCTTTCCCTCATAATTCTGTTTTTTCGTACTAAATGAAATATATACTTCTTTGGTAACACAAAGTAAAAGTCAATTCTATGAGAAAGATCCAAGATTCCCTATACTGCCCTTAGCCCTTCCTGCTTAACACCCGAAATAGCTTATTGTAACGACATAACTATCTATACTTGCAAAATTTTTAGAAATTGGATGAGTTTGGCAAAGTGTACAGAACAAATTGGTTAGATTATGGAAAATTTTAAAAAATCCAGCAAGTACCGATAATATACTTGTTCTTGTCTCGTTAACATTATAAAAACGAGTTCCTCCTTGACAAAGAATTGAATGTGATACCAATTCGAATAACTGTCCATGGATAATTCCATTCCTAGTATATTCCCTGCACCTTCAACAAAATTGCGAAGATGTTCCTTATAATTCCTCAATTTCTCTAAACATATATCTATAATATATTCGGACCCAAAAAGCAGAAGGAAGCGGTGTATATGGACCATTTCCTTCATTTGATTCTTCAAGATTGGTATGTACATGAATTAATTTATGAGTATATTCATCACCTAAGAAGTTACTAGTTTGATTACAGAGCTTATTTGATCCGAATGATGAGGTTGCTTCAGCGATAACCAACTTAATGTCTTATAGTAGTGATTGGCTATAGATCCATCTTGCTATCCCACCACATAACTCAAACTTATTTTCCAATGTTTCTAATAGACTTGTAGTAATATTTTCTTGAATTGAAATCTCAATCTCTTTCTCACTCCATGTTGGTATGTAAAATTTTCTGCACCACTGCGTCTTTGCAAAATCGCCAACTATTTCTTTCTTTGGTGAATAATTTATCTGTTTTAAATCTATACAGCATATTTCCATTAAATTAACTATTTTATTTTTCGTGTTATAATTATTCACGTAAAATATTTAGCTACCTCTGCTTATTAGCAAAGCAGGTATTCATGGTTAAAAAAGTTTTATTTGAAGATCGTTAATAGGGAATTTGAGAAAATAGCAAAATCTAAAGAAGATATGAAAGTAGTAGAGGACATTTGGTATACGAGCTATGTCAATATCAATGAATAGGAGATGTGATAAAGTAATCGAGATTGAAAAAGAATTATAAGTTTAATAGTGACGGATTAGAAAAACAACAAAAAAAGATGATAAAATAAAAAATGGTACAAATTATTATTATCTTAGAATGTAATAAAAAATAATGTAAATAAATATGTTGATTAACATTATACATTTATACTCATTTTAAACGTTATACATACAACCGAGAATAATAAATTCTACCCTATACGCTAATTTCAAAATAACCTCCATATTTAAAATTTTATAGAAGGCCATGGTTCTGGACTTCATTATTTAACTTTAAAAATCTTCGTTCTTTTTGAAACCCTTCGAAAATGAATATAATAGTTTGCGATTAGGCAAACTTGAAATTCTTAATAATATTTTGAAAATTTAAAAGTCGTCATTACCTCGTTATCTATAAAGCCACAGCTCTGTAACTAAATGTCAAATCTGAAGCATATTTGAAAGCATTATGACATTAGTCATCAGATAAAATTTAATTGTCTCTTGCAACGTCTTTATCATTGTGAAACAAAAATAGAAAAATATAAGAGTAATCATATACATAATAAATGATAACATTATTTTGTTAAATTTTAATGTTAATGAATATTATGATCGTTACAAATTGAGATAATAAATAGTTATTGGATGGGGTATTCAATAACTATTTGACAATAAAATGTAATATATCTAGGGAAGTAGGGATGCCAAAAGTTCGGTTATAACCGATCATAACCGGTTTTTACCGGTTCGGTTATCGGTTCGGTTTCAATCCAGACCGACCGGTTAACCGTCAGTTTTATATAATTGTAAATTTTTAATATATTCTGAAAAAAAAAATGATTTGTTCATTGATAATACCATTAAAACTATTAGTGTTTTTATGTATAATATTCTCATTTTTGAAATTCATATCGGCTGATCAGAAAAGCCTCCCATAATTTTATATTAACCCATCAGCTATTAATGAACCCATCATCTGAGCTTAAATATTAATTGGCTTGATTTTTCCAATCAGCCTATTGTATCGAATTTACGCGTTGATCACGTGATTTTTCGTTTCTCTGAAAAATCACAACATCGGCGTTATTGTTGTAATAAATTACGTAAATTCAAAGAATATTATTCAAAAAATTATAATTGATACTTTATGGCATTATTTTATTCGATTTTGCAGTATTTTTGCAATCGGTTTTATAGTTCAGTTTTATCGGTCAGTTTTGCGGTCGGTTCGGTTTTGCTTGAAAACTGCAGTTTTACAGCTGTTTTCATAAGACCTGGGACAAAATAAATTTTTGAGTAGATCATTCGCATGCATGACACAGGAAACGATCTGAACTTTAATCACTGGAAAGGGTTTACCACAAATCCGACACCAAGATCCCGACAAACCCATCCCGTTGAAATAAAATCCCGATAGGCACAAATTCTGACAGTTAAAAATCTCGGTTTTTTTTAAAAAAAAAATTATATAAATTTTACAATTAAGCAATATAATTAAAATATAATTTTAATGTAAATTGTTTGCAAATTTTTTTATTCAATTAACTAACGTTACTATATTATTAATGAAAATTAAAAGAAAAAATTTTTTATCTTAGTTAAAAGGATTATGTACAGTATATTACTAGAAATTAGAAATAATTACATTAAAAAAATCAACTAATCTCAAGTTCATCTGATCGAATCTCAGTCAGGATTTTGGCTGTCAAGATTTTAAATCTGTGACTGTCAGGATTTTGATTTAATCGGGATTTGCATTTATCAGATTTTGGCCAGTTGGAAAATAGACATTTCTTAAGATTTTCTTTCCAAAAGCGTCTTTTCTTAAACACAAGTTAATTAATCAAAGGTCTGAAACTCCCTATGGGAAGTAATACGATTGTACGATAATACAAATGATATCCACTTTAATGCTCATGAGTTTCATCAAATAACTACTAAGTAAGAATAGAGGTCCCCTTCTAGATATTAGTTTTATTTCAATAACAATCTTTATTATAATCTTTAATATTGCCTTCTTAACTGTCAACTTTCTTACTGTTAATCTTTCAAAGATTCATATAAGAATCTTGAATACAGCTTTAACGATTTCTTACAAAAGAGAAGTTCAAAGTGTGAGATTTTTAATATAGTCTAAGTCGATTCATTACCGTCAACGATGATTTTTTCGCTGATGTCAACTGTGACAATTTAACGCCGATTTCATATTGGATAATTTTGTAAGTGATAAAGAAGCAAGTTTTAGTTCTTGAGAGTGAAAGTTTGAGAGCTTTGAGTGTATATATATATATACTTATTTATGTAAAACCTTCTTAATGCATCGTGTTAATTCTAGTGGCTTGTAATGATACGAAAAATCTTATCAATATTGTAAAATTAAAAAAAAATTTTCAGAAAAAATGGCGAATGTAAAAATTTCTGGGTATTTATTAAATATGAATGATTTATTCGTGAATTAAATTAATTAAGTAAATAATTTTATAATTAAATAAATATAAATTAAAAAAAAGATTTTTTTCCTTCTATGAATTTTGCATAATATTTCTTTCTATTAATAACATTGGTTAACGCTTCGAAACTTTTTTTAAAAAAAAATTTACCATTAGCTATTCCAATTTTTCAACCCATTGTGATTGATATATCCATTTCCATTCACGCTATGATTTCCATTTACGCTATGATTTCCATTTACGCTATGGTTTCCATTTACGTTATAATTTCCATTTATATGATGATTCTCAGATCTTAAACCATCTTGAAGAATTTTATTCTCTTCCAAATATTCCAATACATCTTCACCCGCTCTTTCAACTTCTCTAACCATTTCATCCAAATAATGTTCATTAATTGAAGGTGCATTTATCACTACTCTAAAAAATATAGGTAATTCTTTTCCATTCAATTCTAAAGGAGAATAATCAAATAAAAATCTACCGCGTTCCCGCAACCTTCTGTGAATTTCTTTGGTTACTAAAGTCATTTGTTCTTTCCAAGTTTGATATTTTTTGGTTTCTTTTTCTTCTCGATCTAAGATTTTCATCCCCTTTGGAATATACCAAAAACATATTTGTAAATTTGGTGGATCTTCTAATACCATTTTAAACTTATTATTATTTTTCACTAAATTAGTCAAATATCTAGCCATTTTAAATGCATGCTCTATCCTTTTTTTATATCCTGATATACCATATATTTTCCATCCTATAAATAATTTTATTGCATCAGGCTTTCTGCCACATCCAACTGTACTATCTCCTAAATCATACTTAGAATCGTCATGAAATAAATATTGTGCTCCTAGTGAATTTGTTTGCTTAAATATTTGTCGATCTGACGCTAATATGAATGAACATTGTAATGGTGTTCCGAGTAATTTATGTGGATTCAGCACAAAAGTATCAGCCTTTTGTTTGATAAATTGAAAAAATATTGTTTAGTCAGTTAAATTAGAGTAAATTATTTTTTTTAAAAAAAAGAGTTTTTAATAACGAACCAAAGATGAACCTTCAATCTTGTGCTTATGTTTGTCGGAAAATATAAGACTCCCACCCCATGATCCATCAACGTGAAACCAGAGCTTGTATCGCTTGGCAATTTTCCCAATTTCCTTTAGTGGATCGAAGGCTCCCTAATATATAAAAGTATGCGAAATTAATAACGCAAGAATACGTAAATAAAGCAACAATAATAATAATAAAATTTCATACCAAAACGGTCGTACCAGCAGTAGCATTAATAAAAAATGGGGTTTCTTTTCTTCCCAATGACTGTATAATTAATTGTTCTATGCACAAGAAAAAAATAAAAAATAAAAAATATGTTAGTTCGTAAACTCCAAAAGAAACTGAATCTTTACCTAGGATCTTACCTAATTCATCTGGACGCATTCTTCCCTGATCATCACAAGGAACTTTAATTATGTTGTCTAATCCTAATCCTAGTGCCATACCAGTTTTCTCAACGGAATAATGTCCAGAACTCGAAGTAAATACCGTAAGCTTCTTGCCGAAAGTACAATACCCTTTAGTTTTAATCTCTGGAAACATATAATTTCTTGCCGTTAACATTGCGAGTTGATTTGAAAATGCTCCTCCTGGACATGTTATTCCTCCTGATCTCTAAAATTTTTTTTTAATTCTAGTTAGATGAATTTGACAAATCTGAACAACTCACAAATTAATGTATTTACCTCGCCCATTCCTAACAATTTTGCTAATTTCTCCGAAACACAATCTTCCATTAGTGTCAACACTGGAGATACATGGTAAACATGTGAATTCGCATTTAATAATGATATTAACATATCGGTTACAATCCCAACAGGATTGGTTCCTGCGTACAATTTATCCATGAACCCTGGATTCCATGTATTAACACTATAACGTAATATATTCCGTAACATTGGCATTAATCCTATTTTTTTATAATGTCAGAAAAAGAAAAATTAAATAGAGTTTAACAAAATAACAATTAAGATAAGAACCTTACCAGGAATACCAATCCCAGTATATGGTAGATCTAGATCTATTAATGGTTTTAATTCTTCCGGTAGTTTATACTCTACTACTAATGCTCCTGGCTTTCGACTTTCATTTACATCTAAAAATAAAGAAATTTTAATTATGAATTGATAATGAAAGGTAAATAAAATGCTTACATCCAACCATTAAATCTTTCATTTGTGAAACTAATAGATCAAGTTCTGCGGCATCGCCATCAAGTATATCTTGTGCTTGCGATTTCATTTTATTCTTAGAAAGAAATTACTATTATTATTATAAGAATAATAAAAATCAAAGATTATAAGGATTATGAAAATATGTAAGATTTAATATATACGAAAAAACAAAAAAAAATTATTTTTGAATGATTTCTTTCGTACTTTCGTAAATAAAAAATGAGATAAAAAAAAGCCCCCATGGGTTCACCTATTTATATGCAAATTTATATTAAAGATCTGCAACTTATCCATAATGGAAATATTATACGGAATATGGTTTAAATTCCAACCGGATTTACTTCAATAATTAAAATAATTAGCCTTATTGTTGTTCATTTTTTATCGCCGTTTTCAAATTAGTGTGACCCCCCTCTAAGGAAATCGGTAGATTATTAGTGATTACCAGAGGAAATCTTGTGAAATTTTCAGTTATTAAAGTAGTTTCTTTTAAAAATATGGTAGTGTTACGCAAAGTTTTAACACTTGTTCATAGGAAAACTACTTAAATTATTGAGATTTCTGCATGAATTCCTTTAAAGATCGCACAATAATCGACCCTTCTCTACATAGTTTTCCAAGAAAATTCTGGGTTTTCCAGATTTGAAAACAGCGATAAATAAATACTATTCGATATCCGCGGATTGATCCATGGACTCTCGTATGATTACCTTTTATGGAATAAAAAAATTCCTTTCGAGTGAAAAAACCGAAAGCTAATAGCTAACTTAGTGTGTCTGGTGATTTGAGAAGATTTGATTTTTTTGCTCGTTTTTTGTGATATAGAGTGAAGTTGATTTTTTTTTTCGACTTAATGTGGTCAGCGAATTATGAAATTTGCTGTAAAAAAAATAATTGAAAATAATGTGCGGAATTTTAGCGTTGTTATTAGCTGATTCAAATGCTTCAGCCAATTTAGAATTATTTGAAGGTCTTCAACTTTTACAGCATAGAGGACAGGTAATGAATTTTCTTAACACTTCAGTTATTAATGTTTATTTTCTAATTCATTTTACGTTTCGTTAAAAGGATGCTGCCGGAATCATTACGTGTGGACAAAAGGGAAGATTTTACCAATGTAAAGGAAATGGAATGGTAAGAGATGTTTTTGATCAAAAACATCTACAGAATTTAGTTGGAAGTCTTGGAATTGGTCATGGTACGCGTATAGTATTGAAAATATGAAAATGATAGATGAAAGATATAATATCTTGAATAATGAATAAAATTGAAATTATGATAATGATCTAATTTTATTTTACTTTAATTAATTGTTTAGTACGATATCCTACGGCTGGAACGTCCTCACATTCTGAAGCACAACCGTTTTATGTCAACAGTCCATACNTTTTTTTTTTTCGACTTAATGTGGTCAGCGAATTATGAAATTTGCTGTAAAAAAAATAATTGAAAATAATGTGCGGAATTTTAGCGTTGTTATTAGCTGATTCAAATGCTTCAGCCAATTTAGAATTATTTGAAGGTCTTCAACTTTTACAGCATAGAGGACAGGTAATGAATTTTCTTAACACTTCAGTTATTAATGTTTATTTTCTAATTCATTTTACGTTTCGTTAAAAGGATGCTGCCGGAATCATTACGTGTGGACAAAAGGGAAGATTTTACCAATGTAAAGGAAATGGAATGGTAAGAGATGTTTTTGATCAAAAACATCTACAGAATTTAGTTGGAAGTCTTGGAATTGGTCATGGTACGCGTATAGTATTGAAAATATGAAAATGATAGATGAAAGATATAATATCTTGAATAATGAATAAAATTGAAATTATGATAATGATCTAATTTTATTTTACTTTAATTAATTGTTTAGTACGATATCCTACGGCTGGAACGTCCTCACATTCTGAAGCACAACCGTTTTATGTCAACAGTCCATACGGAATAGTATTTGGTCATGTATGTTACGTTATATATATATATATCAAAGAAACGATTTTTTTAAACAAAAATCTCATCTAACTTATCTTTCTAACCTTATTAGAATGGAAATTTGATTAATGCACAAGAGTTAGAAGATTTTTTAGATTTCAACACTCATCGTCATATTAACACCGATTCTGATTCGGAATTGTTATTAAATATATTCGCTAATAATTTACAAAAAACAAATAAAGTTAGGTATGTTAAATAATAAATAAAGAATCCAATTTAAATTAGGTACGTTTACTTAAACTAAATTAATGTACTGATTTTCCTAAATTTTAATATTTAGAATTGACGAAGAAGATATTTTTACAGCTATAAAAGGAATGTATGAACAGTGTATAGGTGCCTATGCATGTGTAGCTATGGTTGCAGGTTGGTTGGCGAATTTAACTTGCGCTATTTTTTTTCGAAAGTTTAAAAAGTGCAAAATTAATTAGGTTAATTAACTTGTAAAATTTTAGGATTTGGCATAATTGGATTTAGAGATTCAAATGGGATTAGACCAATATGTTACGGAAAAAGAGAAAGTACGAAAGGAACTGATTATATGATTGCGTCAGAAAGTGTAGTATTAGATGCATTAGGTTTTACTGAAGTTAGAGATATAAATCCAGGCAAGTATATTTCAAATTTTCCAAAAAGTCAATTTATGATTATATTAACAATCCAGTTTCATTCATTTATTAATTATTTAGGTGAAGCAATAATTATAACGAAAACAAAAATAACAAGTCGTCGATTAGTTGTATCAAAAAATATTACGCCATGTATATTCGAATATGTTTACTTTGCAAGACCTGATTCCGTAATTGATGGTATATCAGTATATAGATCAAGATTAGAAATGGGTGAATATTTGGCTGATCAAGTTGTAAAAAAATGTGGGGATAATATGGATATTGATGTTGTGATTCCGGTAAGCATTCGGATTTTTTTTAAAAAACTTTTTCTTTTTGGAAACTAAAAATTTAAAAATTTAGGTCCCTGAAACCAGTCGCGTAGCAGCATTACAAGCAGCTCATAAATTAAAACTTCCTTATAGAGAAGGATTTATTAAGAATCGTTATATTGGACGTACATTTATAATGCCAGGACAGCATATGAGGAGAATAAATGTCCGACGCAAATTAAACGCCATGGCATTAGAATTTTCCGGCAAGAACGTTTTAATAGTTGATGGTATTGTGTTTTTATTAAAAGTTGTTGGAAGTCTTCGTTTGGAGAAAATATAAATTTTTTTTATAATTTTTTGATTTTATGCATTAGATTCGATTGTTAGGGGGACAACTTCAAAAGAAATTGTTCAGATGGCACGCGATGCTGGTGCCAAGAAAGTTTATTTCGCGTCTTGCGCTCCTCCTATTAGGTATTGATGATACATATTTTTTTGCGTATAATTATAATATATTAATTGAAATCTTTTGTAGATATCCTAATGTTTATGGTATTGATATGCCAACACGTCAAGAGCTTGTAGCATATAATCGTAACGAAGATTCGGTTGCTAAAGAAATTGGTGCCGATGTTATAATATATCAGGTAAAAAATAATCATGAATAGGATTTACTTGGTTTAGTTTTTTTCTCACACCACTTTTTTCTATATACAATAAAGAAATTAGATGATTTATTAGAATCATGTAGAAAATTCAATTCAAATATTAAAACCTTTGATTGTTCGGTATTTAATGGAGAATATGTTACAGGACGTGTTACGTCAAAATATTTGGACGACTTAGAGAATGTTAGAAGTGATTTGGCAAAGAATCGTATGAATAATTTACATTCTCCTGAAACTATTGGTTTGCACAATGATTATGGTTGCAATGGTAAATCTCTTTAAGGATGTGCGGTTTATTTTAGAGTGTATTAAATGGTTTAGGGAAGAGTTATTAAATTTTATTTGAATTATTTGAATTGTAAATAATAGATTTTTTTATTATGGATGAATCGTGGTGAAAAAATTATTGTTTTGTGAGATCAAAATAGCATATATATAACGATAATTTTATTTTAATAAAAATCAGTTTTTTTTTTATTATTTTATTAGAATTGTCGCTTGAAATTTTTGAACACTTTGTCTTTATTAATTATGAAATTCTTGTATTCCTTAATTTTACAATATTTACTATATATATATTGGCATAATAATAAAATTATTTAAATTGCAACAATTGCAACAAAACAACAATCTCGTCATAATCAACACCTGGAGTGGTTGACGAAGTATAAATTTATTGTCTAAACTAAAGTTGCCTGCCGAAAGTATTAATTATGGTATTTTGGATTACAACTTGGGTTGTAACCCTGATTTACAACTACGGCTTAAAGTTGTAACGTGCCGTATTAAAGTTGTAATACGTAATTATGCTGTAAAGAGTAATTATTAAAGTTGTAAATCGGCAAATTATAATTAAAAATTAAAATGTAAATCAAAAAAATTTAATTTAAAAAAAATCAGATTTTTCAAAAATGTATTGTAAATGGAAAGCTAAATCCCCATATAGCTCCATATTCAATCACCATTAATGTGGGGGAATACATGTGATGCCAAGCAAATCATCTACAACGATTTTCTTCTCCATAACGAAAAGTACTGCAGCATGTGAACGAATGTTTTCATCTTTGGGATGGCTATATGGAAATGCCGAACTCAATTAAGAGTGGATAGATTAGAAGGATTGGCAAAGATTTATCGATTTGATCTACAGAACAGTTTATCAAACTCAAGAAGAAATTTCTCCTAAAATGGTAAAAAATATCAAGATACAGTTTTTAATGAACTTGAGGAAGAAGCATCTCCAGTTGAGCACTTTCATACAGCTGATGAGTTGAACTTAAACTTGAATATTTCGGATATGTTGATTTCCGATCTTCAATTTTTCACCCTAATGAACTCTTTTTTAATAATAATGAAAGAGAGGAGTATGGTATATACGCATTTGTACAATTATTTATGAATAAAGTTTTCAATATAGATATTAATATTTAATACTTTTACAAATGAAAATCCTAAGAATTTTTATTAAAAATGTTCGTGTGATACAAAAAAATTATAAATCAATATTAATAAAACTGTGGTTAAATCTTGTGTATTACACCAATTACATGTATTACACCAATTACAACTGGTTGGAAAATTATGGCAAAACGTTACAACTCTACGACATTACATCACAACCTTCCAACTCTGTTACGCAACAAACCGGTCATTTAGATAAATCAACGTCACAACTATATTTGATTTAAATATTAAAGATTCAAAAGACTATATTTATATCGTTAAAAGCACATACCGCATACAAATCTATAAAATTAAATATATTTTTATTGTTCAAAAACAGATATGATATTATCAATAATTAATATCACTTATATTGAGATAAATATATATATTTTTTAATTACAGTGAAATAATTTAATGTGTTATTCTAAGCCTTATAATATTAAAATCAATTAATTTATTGTCTAGATTGTTATTAATTAAAATTTATGGTAAATGGTAAATTCAATTATATTTATATTAATTATATTTTAATTGAAACTTAATTCTTTGATCTGTAATATCAAAAAAAAAAAAAAAAAAAAAAAAATTCTCAAATGCTGGCTTCCTCTAGTTTTTAAATTTTTTCCATTGTACTTTATTAATTATCGAAATATCGAGACGTTCCATTCGTTGGATTCATTTATTGACAAATATGAACCTATTCGTGACCCATCTCCTGTAAGGTTCATGGCGAGGTTATATTCTTCAGTCCTTTTGTTTTTTGAGTTTTTTTACGGATATAATAGACGGAGTTGTTTCCGTTTAGAATATCTGAATACCGTTTCCTTCATACAATAAAAATAATCATTTTAAGTATCGAATTTTTAATGGATCATTTACTTTTTGATTATAATATTTGATGTTTAATTCCCAATATTCCTTCGCTTTTATAATCTAAAATTTAATTAAATTAGATAGTATCTAAAATCTTCAATATTGGCAAACTATCGTAAAATCATTAATATAGATCATAATGTGATCATAAGAAGTAATTGATTGATGAAATTGATGGATTTTTTAATTGATAAATCGATTGTATTTTTGAGCAGAAAACGCGATGATGCCAAATTTTTAAATATTATTAATATACTGTAAGTATATACAATAGTATATTTATTAATTACATCATGTCTTTGGAGGCACCAGAAATCATGATTTTTTCTTGTTTATTCTGTCTATTATCATCCGCATATAGTTAATGAATAAAAGGCGCTAAGACGCTTAGGAGAGTAGTTTGTAATCATATATAATGCTGCGCATCCGTTAAGATTTCTTTATCACGTGGATTTCTTTCAAACTTGAAAATATCTACATTTTTTTTTCGATTAATTTTTAATTTTTTATATTTTTACATTCGAATTTATAAAATTTTTCTTTTCTACTAAGCTTGATTTTGTGTATACACAATAAAGTAAATGAAAGAAAATCGCTAAGCCAAAGTATACATAATTAATAGCGGAATTATTTCTTTGTTAATGAATTATATATAATAATTCACTTTTGATATTTTTTTTTTTTTTTCCTATTTAAACTTTTACGTTACATATTCATACAGTACATCCTTGTATTTAGAAAAGAAAGATGCCTGCCGTTCATCTCAACTGCTTACTCCGTAGTGATACTGAGAATAATATTTTTGCTGTAGAAATTGATAACAATCTGACTGTTAATAATCTGAAAGATTCGATCAGAAATGCCCAGCAAGACTTACATCGTCAAGTAAACTTTGATCTATACGAGATCATTTTTTCCAGCCTAATGATTCCATAGTTTCTTCTGTAAATAGTTTTACAGTTAGTCAAGCCATATTTATGAATCTGCAATAGTAATTTCTATAATTTTCCCATCTTGCGTATCAATACTCTCGTAGAAAGACCTCCTTATCCTCAAGAAAACGATGAAGAGGTCCTATTCATGTCCTCATATAGATAATTATTTATTCACATTATGTAATGCGATGTATTCAGTTGTTTCAGCAATGCTTTTTATTTCATAATTTTTATTTTATTTTTATTTTTAACATATAGACGAACTAAGAGGTGATACAGGAAATCTATTTAACAAATTACACTCTTAACCCCAAGGAAACCTGAAGAAAACCGGGGAGCTGTCCGTCTTTTATTTTAAAAACTTGAGGCTTGGCCTATTCTATATAATTAATCCGATCAAAAACAAATATAAAAACTTTCTTTCATAAATTTTCATAAATAATAAAATATCGATTTCTTGTATAAAATCACGTGCAATTACACTCAATAGTGAAAATCACCTGACCTGTCTGTGCGATGTAAAATTACATTAACGCTTTATTTTTTGTCCAAGTCTGTTATCACTATTTGGTCGCAGATGAAAACCCTTATAAAAATGATTTCGCAGTTGAAATAGAAAGCAACGAAGCTAATTAGTTTTTTCAAGGAGATCAAGGAGATCTACATCTCTGTAACTATGTCATTCATTTCATTTATTTTACAAAAAAAAAAAAAATAAAAGAGTTGCAGGTTTCTTTAGTGTTCAAATAAGTTTTTTATTGTTTTATGATATAATCAATGTGAAATACTAAAACCAAATAATTTAGTTTTCGCAATATGAATTCAGCGCATCAAGGCAAGATCTTTCCAACCACTGCATTTTGATGGTAACACTTTATGGTTATCCTTATAGAGCACGTACCAAAAATTTTGTTTAATCCCCTCACTTGTTTTGTATGATGATGGAAGTCAATAATCACCTGATCTTTCAATGAAATATTTGCTTTTGCAAGTTCCAACAAATGATCACCCTCGTTTATTAGCTCAGCATAGTTTATTATTGACATAAAAATCCAGAAACCAGCTGACTCTTCAAATACGGGACCAATATCAGCACTTATTGATACTTCTATTGGGGCTATAATAGTGGCAGCACAGTACCACTCCATCTGCTAACTCCTCTTATATAAATATGAATCAGGACCTCTCCCAAGTGATTTTGACAACTTAGATGGACTCATACGTTCAATGGTTCACAATAAAAAATTTTTAAGAATGTTGAAAAGACATAGGAGTTCTTGAGGTAAATAGACAGTGGCTCAAGATAATTCGCATGATAGGTGCTGTAAATTGTATTTATTCATCAACTATGGAGAAAATATCTGACTTAATTAGGCTCTTACAAATGAGATTTAAATTATAATCAATGTTAAAAGGGAGAAGTATATTGCAAATAAATTCAACCTCTTCATCTTTGGTCTCCAACAAAAAGTTGAGAATAATTGGTTAAGCTAGATATCACAACGTATTCACTACATTTGTATTACTATAATTATGAATAGATTGTAAAATGTTAATAGAATTAATTGACATAATCCAGGAGGTCTCGAGGCAATTCTTGCAAGATGGCACTTCTTCTAGTGTATGTGTTTGTGTTAAGATCGAATGGGTTCTATGGGTAGATCCTGCCAAAAAATTTCTAGATGGGCTAGCGGGTTGTTCTTGGCACAATTACGAAGATGTGTGAGATTAAGAATTGCTTTTTGAATAAAATTGGGACTCTAAAGAGATCACTGCCCTAAATCATATGCAACTGAACAAAATTTTTCGTAAGCTGATTAATCTCTTTCCATTTTAGAAGTAAGTCATTCAAACTGAAAGTATAACAAAATTCTACAGGCGTTATTTTAGGATCAAGTATTGGATAAATTATTTGACAAAAGTTCCTTCAACATAGCCCATATATAATCTGTACCTCATGTAGCTTTTTGGATTTATTAATTTCAAGTTCATCTGACTTTTTTTATCCATTAAAGAGCTTTCATTGTAGTTTGCTTCTTTATCATATATACCTGCAAGACTTATAAAAATACTATTATAATCACTACTGGCAAAATGCGCCTGTAGTACCGTCAAAAGTGCTCTTTCCCGATGATGAGGGACTTCTCAAAAGGCAAATTTCATTATTTTCCATGAAATCAGCGTTTCTCTTTAGTCTTTCAGGTGACTATCATGACTTTTATTTTCTGAC